CTTGCCATGCATGTGCAATTATCTGAGTTTTATTTCCAGAACCTACAATGGAAGGAAAGAACCGCCTCCCAGAAGTTTTTTCTGACCTCCATATTATGAACACATGAATACTGTACACAAACACACGGGGATGGGGAATTAAGTACACAAAAGGAAGCAAGAAAAATGAAATCTGTAATAAGGTACAAAAAAATCAGCAATCCAACACAGAACTAATACAAACATTAGAATTAGCAAAAAGGAAATTTAAAATTAAATTCCATGTTAAAAATATTGTGCTAGTAATATGGCACCAATAAAGACACTTTCCACTAAGGTTTGATGACCTTAGTTTGATGCCCAGAACTCACATGGTAAAAGGAGAGAACCAACTACAACAAATTGCCCTCTATTCTCCATATATACACCCCAAGTAGTGTGCACATACTTCCAAATAAATAATCAATGTAAATCCATTAAATAGTAGTCTAAGCATGGAAAGGCATGCCTGTAACATCATCCCAGAAGGATGAACAAAATGATCAAAATTTCAAAGCCACGTATGACTTTATAGGGAGCAGAGCATCTGTCTCAACAAAACAAAATAAGCCAACAAAAAAAGGCAGTGAATACATCCAGACATAGCTTTCCAGAAATAAAATAGACACCAAAGTCAAAATTTCATTATATAGAATTAAAAACAGATTAGACATTACAGAAGGTACTAGAGGCAATATGGGAAATTATCCAAATGAAGTGCAGAAGGAAAAATAAAAAATGAAGGAAGCATCACCAATGAATAATACCTTCAAGTGGCTGCATACACATGTAATTGGAGTCCCTGAAGAAGAAAAATGAGGAGAGAAGAAACCTATTTGACAAAATAATAGCCAAAGTGTTTCCCCAAAGTGATGAAATTATAAACCACAGACCTAGGAAAGGTTAATAAATGCCAGACAGGAGAAATACAAAAATTGTTCAAAATTAGTAATAGAGAATTTTAGAAGCTGCCAGAGAAAATTAGCATGCACACACAGAGAAACCAGACTAAGAATTATTGTTTAGTTCCCACATGGAATAAGACAAAGAAGAAGACAAATGAGTAGCATCTTTAAATTATGGGAAAATAAATTTATCAACACTAAAGTCTATATGCAGCAATGTTATCTTCTAAAGCAAAATTAGAAAGAGTGGATCACTGACTGATATGAATTATAAGAAATAGTAAAAAACTGTTCCATATCTTTAGCAGTTTTGCAGACATGCATATTAAAATTACTTTGAGATTTCATAATACAATGATTTCATAATACAATCAAGAAGATAACTGACAACAAATGCGGGGGAGAATTGGGAAAACAGGGTCCCTCATTCATGGTTGATAAGATTTCAAACTGGTCCATAGACCTGTAACCTGGTCCAGCCACCCTTCAGATTAGGGTGTGGAATTCTTACAGACCTAAAAGTAGATCTACTGCATCACCCAACTCTACAACTCCTTGACATATGACCAAATGACAACAGCATTAAACTGCACAGATAACTTGGTCAGCTGTTTTCATTGAAGCTCTATTGACAACAGACAGGAAATGGACACAGTCACTATGTCCTTCAATAGATGAATTTAGGATAATGAAAATGTGTGATATATACAGAATTTAATATTTTCCAGCTACAAAAAGAAATGAAATCAGGAAACTTGCAGGTAAAATAACGGAATTAAACAATATCTTAACAAGAGAGGTAACCCAGGCCACGAAAGACAAGCATGTTCTCTCTTATTTCTGGATCCTAACACAAAATCTCTATATGTGTGCATAAAGCATGAAGGAACTACAGAAACCAGAAAAGTAAAATGAGGACCATGAGAACTCCAGAGAAAAGGATAACATGGCACAGGCGCGATGGAGCAGAAAATGGGAAAAATGAGGTGTGGGCTTTCTCTGAGTAGGCGGCAGGGAGGGCAACACTGAGGTAAAGGGAAGAAGGAGAGCTATAGAACACTAAGGAGGATGCAAAAAGCCAAGGAGTAACAAATAATTTAATCTTCACTTAAATATATAATATATAGTATAAGTGAATGTATAGAATTATTTAAACTAAGTTACACTGCTTTGGATGATAATGCTTTCCTCCAAAGCCACAGACTATTTAGTAAAATCCTAGTACCAAGCATGGGAAACCTGCCTTTGTGTAGTTGCTCAGAGAAGTCCACAGCAACATAGGTTATTGTCAGTGTCTTTGGTCGCCCCACAGAACTTGATGGTCTGACCCTACTGGGGAAGACACCACACACTTCAGACACAGAACTTGGAGGACTCAAGTTTGAACTGATCTGGAAGCTTCCTCTTGAAGAGGAGCTCTTGTAGTATCCAAATGTGTTATGCAATGTTCCAAGGGGGAAAGGAATTAAAGCTCCTACCCAAATATAAAACCTGCAAACCACACCAATAATGAGCACAGCAAGATAGATCCAAGAGTACAATAACAGTACATATATTGCAGCATAACCAACAGTCACTTAATTGGACTTAAGGCCCACTCAATACTCACACCCAGTATTTCAAATCTAGCCGTCTACCTGGGGTTAGTGAAGTCACAGATCCTAGAGGAAAGCTTACTACAGCTGCTTTCATAAGCCAGTGTAACTCCCTACTGCATATTAAATATTTATCCTTATAGACACAGCTGAATGTAGTTGTCTGCCTGCCACAAAGAAGCTTCTTTTTCCCAGCATATGGAGACTACACATAAGTAGCAAAAATTCAGAGAACAACTGACTATGGGTTCTCAGCTCCGTATGATGTATCTATAGCACACTCCCTACACCTAAGTCTCATAGAACATCAGAAAAGAGAAGGAGAAGAGATCATAAGAGCCAAAGGAACAGGATGCCAAGTATAAAATGATTTCCTATAACTGACAGGGGGCTACAGGCATGAAATGTAAACAAAATTGTCTCCTAAATAATGGCAACACAACTTGTTATTCCTATGTGGATGGACGAAATCTCACACAGCTCCACCTCTAGATGAAGAGATATATAGCCAATTAAAGGCTGCTATAGAAGGAGAACCAGTATTCTCCACGAACATGTCACCTGATAGGACATCTAATGTCAAGTATTCATTCCTAAATGCATATACATATAAACAGTGGCAAATGGAATCAAAAGGTTTGTGTGTGTGTGTGTGTGTGTGTGTGTGTGAGAGAGAGAGAGAGAGAGAGAGAGAGAGAGAGAGAGAGTAACATTTAAAGAATAAGGTAATAACATTAAGAGGGAGTGGGGAAGACAAAGCAGAAATGGGGAGGGATAGAGTACAGGGTAGAAATGATGCAAATGCAGTACTCATATATGAAATTCTCAAAAATTACTAATAAAATATAATTATTAAAGTGTAAAAAAAGAACCTAAAACTTAAGACAAGACCCAAAGCAGTGGAAAAGTCTCATTTAGTAAATCAACGAAGCAGTTATTCTGAGACCATAAAAATTTATTTGAAAGAAGATAGACAAAAAGAGGTAAAGCATAAAATAATCAGTAAGACTAAAGAAAACAATTAACAAGATGATAAAGCAAAACCTAGCCACACCAATTTCACAATAAATGTAAATGGTCTAAAACAAATAAGTTTAACTTGCATAAAGGAAAAGCTGACAGCACTTTGGGAGAAAAGAACAAATATGAAAAGTTACAAGCAGCTCATATGTGATGATCTCACCACAGCTTGAACTCTCTCACTGATTACTTGATGACAGTAAAAGATCTGATATTCTATGTAACTGGTTACAATTTACATTAAAATGTAGAAATGTGTCTAATCAGGTACCTCTGTTGCAGGTGGCTGGATGGAGGCTCAGGGAGAAGATAACTTCAAGTGTAATCCCTTCATAAGAATGTTATCAAAATAAACATAATGGAATTTTAAAAAGTTACAAGCAACTCTAATCCCATTCGGAACACAGATATAAAGTTCCTAAGCACATTCAGGAGACAACTTATAAAAATAAAAATATTAAGTTCCCAAGCAGTAAGCTTTCTCCTACCATCTACAACCTAAGAGCCTCACTGTGTACATTATATTCTTCCCTGCTTGAAAGCAATAAAAGCATAAGTAACTCATAAAGGAAAGTTAGGAGGACAAAAAGAAGTCAGGGAGAAAAAGGACCAAAACAAAAATAAAATACTCAAGTTTTTCACCCCACAAGTACTGAATGCCAAACTTTATGGTAGATGCTGAGAATTCAAATTGACTTAAGAAACTTAAATCATTCCTCCTTTTTATGTTTTTAATGTAATAGAATAACCAAGAATTTATACTTTTTGGCTTAGTTGTATGGTCCTGTGGAGATGTCACCAGATGGATATTCTTGGGTTGTCCTCAATTTCATGATCTGTGAGACAAGCACAAGGCGCTGCTCCCTCTAAATTAGGAGCAATTCAGAGAGATTCTGAATAGTGTAGGTAGGGTTAGTGTGTCGTACAGAAAGCAAAGGCCCAGTCGGTTTTCTGACTGGAAAAGAATAATGATTGCCTGGAAGTGTCAACAGAGTGCAGATATAGATTCACAGTAGAGTTCAAATCTTCCTTGCAATATCAGGTTTATAGGAGAATGCAGAGTTAATGTTCTCAGTGACAGTCAAGTGGAGCTCTCTCAAAATCCACATTCCTCAAAACTCCTGCAAGCTTGCATCATTTCCAGTTCATATAGACTACCCCTATTATGACTCACTAGGACAGAGAGTGTATTTATGCACAAATATTTTCAAACCCAAGATCTGCAGGCTTTCTCATGCGAAGAAAGGTCAAATCTTCTTCACAAAGTGTGATCTTCAAATCACACAAGATAGTGACAGTCCAAGTCATAGGAACTCTTTCCACATACAACTTATTGTTATTGCTTATTCAAAATCACGACAACACTTTTCAGGACCTTCCCAAGAAACGTGACACCAAGTCCACAAAGAACCTGGCTTCATCCTCTGTCATGCCCCTCCCCTGCAAAGGGAGAAGGACTTACCTGTGTACAGGTCAGTGTCCGTGTACTCATCCACTTTCTTGTGCTGCAGAATATAGTCAGAGACTTTGGTCCCAATGGCTGGCTGAACATCAATCCACTCCAGGGAAACTACAGTGCTGGAAGGCTCCACCGTCGGAGAAAGTCGTAACCTAATTGGGGAGGGACAAACAAGTTTGCTCATTTGCCATTTTGTATAATCCAGGGACCTAAATGCTTGCAAAAGTTTCATCCAAGCTTCAAATCATGATTCCATCTGCTATCACAACTTTGCATGGCCTTAAATAAACTGTTTTATTTTTCAAGGCTTCTGTTTCTTCATCCACAAATCAGAGATACAAAAAGCTCCCCTTTCAAAGCAATGCAATAGTCAATATATTAGCCTATGCTCATAGTACATGTTCAATGAAAATGGGTTAGCATTTGATTTATTTAAACTACATTTTCAATGGTGTTTCATTTTGTAGAAATAAATTGGCAAGGACTAAACACAGGTGCTTTCAGTATTCCTGCAAGTCCTTTCAGTTACTAAATGCATGAGTTAATTTTTAATAACCTCCTCTCTCCAATTGGTACTTAATACTCTCTCAAAAAGAGAGAGAGACTTTTGGAATAAATTCTTCTGTAAAGCTATAAGAAAGAGAATTGTTGAACATTGTTACTGGACTGGTCTTTGGAAACAATGCTGCGCAATTCGCTCATTTCACAAAGAAGGGAAAGTAAGGTCCCCAAAGGGAAACAGTTTGCACAGGCATGTAACAAGACACAGACAAGATCATCACGGTAACCTTGCCTACCCTAGAACCAGATTCTTCCTTCCTCTACACCATACTATCTCTACAAGCAAAATCTTACACTATGGGTTCTGTCTTCCCACACAGGTGATTTATGGGACTCTGGCTGCAAATACTGGTTCCTGGCTATTCCTCCTTTCACCACCTTTCCTTAACCACATCTCTCCAAACAAGACGACCTTTCTTTGCTTCCTCAGATCAATTTCTGGTGTCAGGTACTTCCAATATGTTGTCCCATCTGCCTAAAAAATCTTAGCACTTGTAACCTAGCTCACTTTTCCTCTTGCAATTCAGGTCCCTTCAAAGGTATTTTCAATATTAACTCCCCACTTTCTACCTAAGACATGCCCATGAGTCTCCCCATGGCCAAATTAGTTTCTCTTTAGTTTTTAACTTAGCTTTTAACTATGTCTTGTTTACTTTCAACAGTCTGTCTGTCCTACCTTACTACCAGTCTCCTACAGCTGCAGATGGTCTCTGTCTTTATCGCTGGTATATCCTAATCTAGTCACAGACCCACAGAGGGTGGCTGGGATCATTGTCTGAAAACTGAATAAAATAAGAGAGGTTCCATAGTTTCTTTTTCTCACTAGCTGCAATAGTCAAAGTAGGCATTGGCAAAGCAGGCCAGTTGCCCAGCAGAAGAGTACTTAGTGAGTAATCACCAGAAGAAAAAGTGGTTTGTGAAAACATCATTTTAAAGCACCATACACTGCAAACTCAGGGTATGTGCCAATTTCCATTTCCAAGAACATCTTCTTTCTCAAAGGAGAAGGGAAGCACCAGAGATTTTAATGATCTGTGTAGGCACCCTGAGAGCACAACAAAACTATAGCTTGGTCTGATAATACAAGAGTGTGAGTCAATGGGGAGGGGTAGGCAAAGGCCAAGGGGCCATACATACTTACACCGGCTGCGGAAGCGGGCTACAATTGGGAAGCCCACTGGCATCAAAGGCACTGAGGTCACACCTGCACCAGTCATCGATCACATCTCCCTTCCCAGAACACCAGTAGGAACTCATCAGTGCATTCTTGAAGGCCTGAAGGAGAGAATGATAGGAGGGATGACAATGACACAGACCCACAGTAAAGGTGTATTGATGGTCATGGTGTTACCCCACCATGGGTTTGCAGTAGCCTTTCTGCTTACAGTTTTGTGGCCTTATCGTCCAGATTCTCCCTGTCCTGAGTTATTCATTTTCCGTCATCTAGAATAACCATTGAGACATAATGCTAAAAGCATGTTGTGAACTTCTCTTAGCCCTGGCACTCCACCTATTGAAATAGATCCTCTTCACAATAATCCCACATGGTAAAACTTACTATCACTGCTCATTTTACACATGGAAAACTGAAGCACACAAAAAGTAATTAAAGTTCACAGGTAGCAAGTAACAGAGCCTAGATCAAATCCCTGGCTCCAATCTGTGGATACACCATCTTAAAAAAAACCCATCTCATCTGATTACTGGCCCCAGAGCCTGTTGTCCTAAAGATACTGCATCTGACTATTTCACTGCCCAGATTAAAAATATGAAGCTTCACACAGTATTCAGGGCTAAGTTTAAGCTCTTTATTTAAGTTTCTGGCCTCTTCTCTAGACTCAAATTACACAAGACTTGGGAACTTCAATATACATTATCATTTACTTTCATGGAAGCACTAACAATTGACCCCAGTAGTCAATTCCTGTCTATTAAAGTAGGGGGCATTGGGTCATAAAATAAGCATTTTCAATTTTATGGTCAGGTGGTTTCTGTTATATTGCCTGCATAGTATGTAGTAAGCTAACAATGTCAACAAACTTTAAATGAATAGTGTTTCATTTAAAAAAGGACTTCATTGGCAATGCCAGCCAGTAAGGTAGATTGTGTCTCATGGTCTTCCTTTTGTTGTTCTTGTTGTTTTTGAGACAATGTTTCTCTGTGTAACACTCCCAGCAGTCCTGGAACTCACTCTGCAGACAAGGATGGCCTTGAATTCACAGAGATCCACCTGCCTCTGCCTCCCAAGTGCTGGGACTAAAAGCATACAATTCTAATGTTTCTCATTGTCTTTGTTTTAATCCTCTTTCTAGCCTGGAATTCTCCATTTTCACTGAAATCCAACTCAATATGTTTGGCCTTAAATAATACTTTCCCTTAAACCTAAGACTGATCATGCTCTTTTGGACACCTTAATGTTAGGCCACTCCTACTATCACATCTCTGATCTGCCTTGCCCATCAAATTCTAATCTTAATTGCTTCTAGGGCCAAAAGCTGTCTTCCCAGGAGTGTCCTCATAGGACCTACTGTGATTCATTTAGTCTTTAATGAACAAATGAACAGTTACTTAAAATTTGATAATTAATATTAGGTGGAAAAAGGAACTTGGAAGGAGTTTCCTGCACCCAATGGATGGCAGGTTCTAGTTGTTCCTGTATTGTCTTCCGCTCTTTTAGGTTTGCTTTGGCATGGAATATACTGGCACCATGAGTCTGGTGCTTGGGAAAATGCCCTGGATAAGTCACTTCTTTGCACTGACATTTCATTGCTTTGGGAATTGAGAATGTGGGATCCAGCTCTTTAAAATTTAAGGACTTCAAAAAGAACGTTGATTTTTTTCTCCATTTCCAGAATATGCTGGGCCATTCATGAGTGTTTTCTTTCCTTTTATGTTACTTTGTCTATGCTTTACAAGTGACCTTAGCATGTCACCTATCACGAAGCATACCTGATTACTCTGATGTCACTTTTTAAAACAGTCTGCATTATTCCAAATACTCAGGAATAGAGCATTGGAATATAACAGGTATGCATTCTCCATCCTTAGCTCCTCAGAGGCACATAGATCTAGGGCAGTGGCCCTCAACCTTCCTAAGGCTGCAATCCTTTAATACAGTGCCTCATGATGTGGTGACCTCCCAACCATAAAATTATTTTGTTGCTGCTTTATATTTTAATTTTGCTACAGTTACATATCATAATGAAAATATTTTTAGAGATAAAGTTTGTAAAAAGCGTCATGACCCACTGGTTGAGAACCACTGATCTAGTAGGAGAAGGTGTGTACCAAGAAGGTAATGTGTTAGTCTCTACCCTACTTTTCCCGGAGGCACAAGCAGGAAACTTCCAATGAGTTCTTATCAATTGTGTTCTTATCAATTTCTTCTGCTAGACATGAGCTCGTTAAGCAATCAGTTTCTCCTGAGTCAGGTGCCTATCCAAGGACATGAAAAAGAACCATAATAAAAAGTCATGTTCATGAAGAGCCCAACTGCACAGTCCAAAGCACTTCAAGCCTAAGATCCTTGGCAAAAACAGCAATGATGGAAAAAATGCCATTACATATTTCAAGTTATATTACAGAGCCAAAGTAATAAAAACAATACATTATGTGCAAAAATACCAAACATGTAAACCAAAGGAAATAATTGAAGTCCTAAACATGAGTATGTGTTACTACAGCTGTCTAATATCTGACAAAGAATGACAAAACACAAGCTGGAGAAAATAGAGCATCTTCAATAAAGAGTGCTGTGAAAACTGCATGTTCACATGTAAAAGAATGAAATTAGATCTGCATCTATTACCTTGATAAAAATACACCAAATGGATCAAAGACATACACATGAAACCTGAAACTGTTGGAAGAAAATACAGGCAACCCTCTACAGGGTACAGATGTAGGAAAAAACTTACTGAACAGTAGTCCATTTATCAAGGAACTGAGGCAAACAGTTGACAAGTGGGATCTTACAAACTAAAGGAATGTCTGTACATCTAAAGAAACAACCAATATGATGAAGAGCAAGCCCACAGAATGGGAAAGAATATTAATACCTGACAGAGGGTTAATATCCAGGATTTGCAAACAACAACAAAAACAAAGATCTGAAAAACAAACAAAGAAAACAAATTATCCATTCAAAAATGGGCTTGGGAACGGAACAGAAAATCCCCCAAAGAAAAAATGGCTAAGAAATATCTTTACAAGTGTTCATCATCCCTAGCAACTAGGGAAATACAAATAAAAAGAATTCCAAGATTTTATTGCATTCCAGCCTTACTGACAAAGATCAAAAAACAGCTGACAACAAATACTGGAGAGGATGAAGGGAAGGGTTCCTTTGATTACACTATTGGTCAGATTATAAACTGGTCCAGTCACTCAGGAAATCAGTAGGGAAAACAATCAAAAGCTAAAAGCAAACCTACCATTGACACAGCTATCCCACTCCGTGGCATATGCCCACAGGGTCTGACATCCCACACCACAGATACTTGCTCAGCCCTGTTCACTGCCTCTCTGTTGACAATATCTAAGAAACAGAAACAGCCTGAAAGTCCTTCAGCTGATGAACTGGTAACCAAACCGTGGTACATGAACACAATGGAATACTATTCAGCAGTTTAAAAGAATGGAATCATGAAATTTGAATGTAAATATGTAGAAGTAGAGAAGATCATATTGAGTAAGTTAATGCAGACATGTCTTCACTCATCTGGTGTTCTTAGCCCCAAGTTCTCAGATGTGCGTATACAACCTGGAGTAACTACAAAAACCAGGAAAGCGAAAATATTGGAAAAATATGTGACAGAACTTAATTAGAGAGCAGAGAGAAAAATCCATAAGCAGAAGAGAGGCAAAACAACAGTAAGAGTGTCTGAAAAGGTCATAATAAATCATTATCTAATTAAAATTATATAATACATATAAGTTTGTGTATTAATACATATATCACATAAATGGAATCTTCTCATCTCTGTTGACAATGTTCTCCTGAGAGCCATAGACTATTAAAATCAGGCATGAGAATACCCCTTTTGAGTTGTTGGTCAGAATCGTACAGGAGTCTCCCAAAACATTGTAGGCTATTGCCGCTCCCCTTAGTTGCCTCCTAGATGTGAAATAAAGAAGTCATTATTGCTAAACCATACAGTTTGGACACAGCACCCAGAGGGCCTAAACTGGGTCTGACCTGAACTTTGATGATACCAGTGGACATACTAACAAGGATGGGGGAAAGCTTACAGTTGCTCAAACCTAGACAAAGAACTACTGACTAGTAGGGAATGCTGAATGAGAGAGAAATAAATAGTCTTCCCTAAGGAAGAACTTCCCCAAATTGGTTATCTAATACCAAGTGGTTAGCCCTCATATGTATATAATATATGTTAGACCCATAAGGTTGTATTTTTTAATTCAATTATGTGTGTGTGTGTGTGTGTAAAATAACAATTTAAAAAAAAGAAGGCCATGAATTAAAGAGAGAATTAGAGAAGTACATGAGAGGAAATGGCGGGAGGAAAAGAAAAAGGGGAAATGATGTAATTATATTGTAATTTCAAAAAAATGAAAGCATTTAAAAATGTAATCTCTATAATGGTTCTGAAAGCTATATAATGCAGCCTATATTTACAGATGAAAAGACTAGGACTCTAGGAATGAAGCAATTTTTCCAAGACCACACAGCAAGAAAATGATGCAAGAGCACAGTGCAAGTCTATACTCCCATCACTTACAGAAGTACAGGTCTTTCTGGTTCAAACACTAAGATCAGTTACATTAACTCCAGATTCAGGAAACTAAAACAGAATATGCTTAGGTAAATTTAACCTTCAGACATTGACTTTAATGTAAGTATATTTGCTGTAAAGTTCCTGGACCAGAATTGACTCCAGAGTGTGAGCATTGTTCCTGCTATGTTGGGAGCCAGTGCGCCTTCTATCAGCACGAGGTACATTCATAAATACAGGAACCAGATAGGAAAGTATGAGTTTATCCTGACTGTCAGACCTGTTCCCCATCATTTGCAGGTTCCTCTTCAGTGTAATCAGTGTGTACAGTTAACTTCTCATATATGAAGATTCTGCAGCATCTCCAGCCAGAGCTAAAAGCTTATTACACAGTAGTGAAATCTAGGAGCATGGAGGAAAGTAACACAGATGGTCACTGTGTTGGAGTCCAGCATGGAGACAGAACATCCTGTTTTGTATGTGTGTGAGCCTCTTTCTCTCACTCTGCCTATTTCTTCCTCCCTCCCTCCCTCCCTCCCT